TTTAGGAGTGACCAGGCAGTTTTCTTGATGGGATATAATTATGTTTCTAGAGCCATAACATTATCTCCCTCATGAGATAGTCTCCAGATCCTTGACTTAATGAGTTCTAAGGGTTCCCATTTTCAAATGAGTATCTTATCCATTGTGTTCTTTCCTTACTATTACACAATTCATTAAGTTTGTGTTGTTGACACAAGGATATGACACAAGGATATTACACAAGGCCTCTTACAGAATTTTGCTTATTCATATATATATGCCTCTATAGTAATGAGATACTTTTTTTTTCCTCAAAGACAGATGAAAAGTTGGGGAAATCAAACTCTAAAATTTCCTGTAGTGTGATACTCCTTTTCAGTTGTGGATCAAGTATTGTCACACTAAGTTTCAGCATTACATATTGTTTCTGTCAAATCTTTCTCTTTTTCATAAATGATCGATAACTCTCTTAGATACTTCCCTCAAAGGGAGTTTGTTCCAGAAGTAACTTCAGAACTTTTGGACATTACACAAATCTTAAAGTGGCAAAGAACTGTGATGGCACAATTAGCATTCCATGTACTTATAGGACACACATGGGGTACACGTGATGTGAATACAGAGTTCTAGACAAAATATCCAAGTTGGCTCCTCTTTTCTGGCACTTGTATCCCTTTGACCTGCAAACACAAGACCTAGTTTTCCACTGTAATTTATTTTTAAATGTATGTTTTCAGAGGGCAGGGTTTTGTGCTTGAGTTTTTGTGTAGTGCCCCGCGTTTTGCTTCCTGTAGTAGTTGTTAAATATGACCCATGCACTGGAATGCCAAGAAGTGCTTTTGAAATAAAAAGAATACCTTGATCCACTTGGGAATCTAGAGACTGACGGTACTATATAGCAAATGCCAGAGAAGAGACACTGTCTCCAAGTTACATCTGTCATCAGGGACCCATGCAAGTCACGACAGATACTGCCCAGAGTCCAGACACGTACAGATGGTGGCTGTCAGGAGGTGACTCATGCTACGGGTTACAGCATGAGATGTTTAGACAATAGCCAGGAAGCCCTTCTTTAGTCAACTAACTGTAAATTTAAAGGAATGGCTCATTATTTATAGCAATTTTGTTGAAATGGAAAGAAGGAAGAGTAAATTTTTATTGATCAATTTAAGCCAGTGCTCCAAGACTAAGTCAAAATTCTCATAGATTTCAAAGGGACAAATGCTCCAAATATAGGCGTAACATTGCTGACCTTTAAAAAAGGACTGAATAGCACAGCCATCATGGCTCAGTGCTTGAGCATGGACATATGAACCAGGAGCTCATGGTTTGATTCCAGGTCAGAGCACATGCCTGGGTTTCAGGCTCCATCTCTAGTAGGGGGTGTGCAGGAGGCAGCCAATCAATGAGTCTCTCTCATCATTGATGTTTCTCTCTCTCCCTCTCCCTTCCTCTCTTAAATCAATAAAAATATATTTTTTTAAAAAGGACTGTCTAGCCATCATATGCCCTTCACTTCCAAGCCAGCTGATTTTACTCTCAGAATGTTTTACTTGTATGAATATTCCTTTTGTTTCCTTATTTAATCACAAATGGTCATTGATGTTGTTTGCTAGAAAAAAAGGAGAGAGACTGAGATCTGAAAAACAGGCCCACCGAGAGAGGCATTTTTAGAGTGGAGAACCAGCCACAGATGCAGAACAAAGTTATTTAGTGAAATGCTAAAGTGGCCATTCACTCAAACTCGCACCTCCTGTTAGAAGCTATCTTTAATGCAGTATTGCCAGACATTGTCCTAAATATCAAAGGCTGGAAATTTCTGTGTTCATGGAATAAGGATCATGTTCCTACCAAAATGCAGCAGTATCTTTATCATCACCACGCAGGTCTCCCAGGACAGATGCCACAGTGGAAGGTGGGATCTCTATAAGCACAGTAGGTTTCTAAGTAAAAGTTTAAAGCACTCTGAACATTTGTAAATGTGAGACAAATGATGTAATGCGTTAACATTTTTCACAGGGTGCGCCTTCTGGTGGATGAAGGCTACGAAGACCGAATTCTGATGGCACATGACATACACACAAAGCATCGGCTGATGAAATATGGAGGCCACGGCTATTCTCATATACTCACCAACATTGTTCCTAAAATGTTGCTTAGAGGTATCAACAAGAATGCACTTGATAAGATACTAATAGACAACCCTCAGCAATGGCTAACTTTCCAATAAGGTGGTCATAAATTCACACCTTGAATATAAAGCTTACAGAGAGCATTCAGTGATCTCAAACCGACTCAGATGTTAATTAATCAGAGCTATATAGAACTAATGATGGGTCATTTCCTTTTTGTGAGAATTAGAAGTGTTTTGCCTTCTCAGAAACTGGCTATTACATCTGCACCTTTAGGGAGTCCTTGAGCCTCACTGAGCCCTAGTACTTTGCCTTAACAAATAATCACAGAAGCACCTGCTTCCAAACAATGAGTTACAGTCTAAATCCCTTTAGTGAAGTCTTGTTTTGTTTTCTTAATCTATCAGCTGCCCTTCTTGAGAATTTAAAGTGTTTTGAGTTAAATTACCCCCTTCTGGAGCAATCCAATGTTTCTTGTAATATTGATGATCCTACTAATTATCCTGCTGTTCTTTAATTAATGCCTAATGAGTAAGATGGCACTTTAAAATAGCTTCTTCAGCAAGAGAAGTGAAATTTTGAGATTTTTTTCAATAGATACTGTGAGACAATTACCAATTTACAATGATAAAATATTGTGGAAGGATAATTATATGCTGTCTACCTATCTGTATATACTTATCATAAATCAATTGTGCTGCCTATGCCTTTCTGGCATCCATTTTTGCTATAAATTTTTGTTGTGCTTTGAAAAATTTGCATAAGGGGGCATGAACACATAACATAATACTGAATTACAAAAATTCAATCATAAAAGTCAGAATATATTACATAATATACTTTAATGAATCATTACATTTATAATAACAAAGGCCACAATTTAATCAATTAATCATGTGTAATGCAAAAAAAGAGAAATGTTTGCCATATATGTATATATATATATAGTCCCTTTATTTTCTATACCTTTTCTTTGTTTTTCCTTGGGCCTAACTAGAGAAAATAATGCTTATTTTTCTGAAGAAAAGGTCAGGTCTATTAGAAATGACAATCTGATGCTACAGCCAACTCTCTAAAAGGTATCAGCCTTGGCACCCTCCTTGGAGCATGCCCATGACCTTCTCTCAGGCACGTACTATTTTTTAAAACTTGAAAGGTCCCCATGAGACTTGCAACCAGGTGAGCAGTGGACAGCGGCAGCTCGTCCCCAGCTCACCCCCTGAACCTGTCTCCAAGTCTCCCTTTTCTCTGACTTTTAAGTGAGCGAAAGCAGCCCTGCCCAGGTTCTTCTGTTGCTTTTTCTACCCTAAGCCCTTCCTTTGTTTCCTTTATTTCAGCTTTAATATGTACTCTCAAGCTAAATAAATAAATAAATACTTAAATATAATAAAAATAAAAGGTATCCAGCCCTGATGGTTTGTGTAAATAAAGCCTTTAAAAAACTCAGTTAAAACTCTTAGTGGATGTGCACTGCTTTTTATAAGTTGATCTTTTGGTTGAATTCTCTGTTTGCTGTTACCTAAAAATAAAACAAAAATTCTACAAACCCTGTTGCCAATTCTTTGATAATTACATGTTGTTAAATAGAAATAAAATTTATTGCAACTCCTTTCTGAGTTATCTTATATATCAGGATGGTCAAATGGAACTAATCATTATTCTTAGTGAATGGGCTAAGTGTTTTTAATCATATAATCATGACAGTTACTCAGGCTAAGGCATTTAAACCAAGCAAACAGTACCTTCAGATGGAAACACCATGCATAGCTCTTTTGGAAAGGTGAGGTTTGCTAAATAAAAGATATTTCTGCAGATCAAAGATGATCAAGCTTTCTGTGTGTTAGACCATAAAGTACCCAAGAGGAAAGAGCCAGGAGAACAAACTAATTCCTTTAAGTGAAAAAACATGCAAATATCTTTCACCAGTAAAACAAGCAGATTTTTAAATATCTGTTTTTGAAATCTACTTGTCAAAAAGTCTTCAAAAGGCAGCTGAGAGGGGAACAGATTTTTCATTGTAATAGTGGAAGTTGTCTGATAGTTCAGATCTATCAGCATGCATTTTTAATTTTTTTCTTAGTTTTAAAGAGATGGCTTTTGGTAGTGTATTTTAAACAGAGAGAAAGGATTTACACCACTCACAAAATCTACTTTACTGTCAGCTTCAATCCACCTGAGAAAAAAAGAAAAATTGGTAATTTTAAATGCGTATAATTCACAAACATTACAAAGGAGAGCCGCTTCATTTCAGCAGTCCTAATGTTAACGGTCTGCCACAGAATGCAGTAAAAAGTATTGATTGGCAGAGGGTAACAGAGAAGTCATAGGCTTAATTTGCAGACATGTGGCGCATAGGGCGTTTTAACCTAATACAATTTAATTTTCTGGATAAGTCTTAAAAGAGAAGCCATTTCAATTATTTTGCTATTCCATATATTTTTGTCATCCAAAATATATTTCAACCCAAAATAATTCAAATAATGTATGTGTTTGTGTGTGCGCATATACACATATAATTGTTTCAATTAAAATCTTGAGGCTATAGCAGCCACTGTGCCTATG